TTGAAGCTTTGTCAATATTCTAAAAAATAAAATTTTGTAATTTTATGTCAAGTATTTAGCTTTCTAATGGAGTGGAAAAAATCGCGTTTCTTGCATTACATTAAATCATTAAAAAACGGCTCCGAACTTTAGGCAGGAAACAGGTAGGTTTTGTTCTTATATGTCTACAATAACTAAAATAGTTGTCAGCTACCTGGATTATTGATTGTCACGAGAAAATCCTTATTACTCTGGACTAATATGACTGGACAAGCAAGTGACGAAACAAACTTCATATATTATGTAAACTTTACTAACAAAAACGTTCAAAATAAATAGTCCAATAAATATAATTAATCAAATTTCATATTCAAATACTGCAAAATATTTGGGTATTACTGTGAGTTTATGTAAAGAAGAAAAGAAAATAATAATTCTGATTGAAATACAAAAAAATGTACTGACCGAATGACCAAAATTCTACTCTGTTTCTACAAAATAAATTATAATTCTATAAATAAATACTGAAACAATAGTATTATTATAAAAACAGTATAAACATTTACAAGGAAAATGTCACAAACAATAGAAAATATTTCTATTCATATAAAAATTTAATCAAATTATAGGTACTTACTGCTTATTTATATAAAATTTCCTCAATCGTCGTCGACCTTTTCGTCCGGAACATAAAAGTCTTCGCGAACTACCCATTTTAAAAACAACAAAACACACTGGTTTGTAAAAACTAGTCAAAAGTCGAAATAAGCCCTAATAATGTTATTCAACATTATTTATGACCCTCCAACTTTCTTACCTACTCGTCGGCGAAAGTCCAGAAACTATCAACAAGGACAGCTTATACTGACCGAGAGAGAGAGTACATTTAGCACAATTTAATATTTTTTAAATAGTTTATATGAAATAGCTGCTTCTTGTTACACTTTATGTTAAAAATAAAAACAGATTCGGAAAGTGGGTAAAATTCTGTAGTGCCCTATTTCAAGAAAAAAATTTTTACGTTAATTTTAACCAAAAATATTTAAAAAAAAAATATTGTTTAAACAATTTATTAATTTACAACCAAATAGTGCACTAGAACTTTTTAAGACCTTTCATATAAAAAAAGAATCATCTCAATATCTGCCATAGTTTTTGCGTTATTTGATATAAACTTTTACATTGGAATTTAGTTATGCCCAGAATCGCGAGGAATGGCCTTAAGCATTTGAGACAGTGGAGAGGTATGACCACTACAGACCTATTTTGAACAGCTGCTAATAAAATACGATGGGCCATTGTGGTAGCCAACATCCATAGGGGATAGGCACTAGCAGAAGAAGAATATTTATTTGGCACTTTGTCATTTGTCATAAAATACTTTATTTGTACAGTAGAAACGTCAAATTATAAAGAAGTTATTTTAAAGTTCGTCAGATTCGTCAAAATTTGTCAGTGCTGACAATTTTATTTCAAGTCAGTACCATTCCATTTCATATTATAATTGTATTAACGACAAAATTATTTTCAAACAGTACCTACCTAACGAGAAAAATTCTAGTTAGGTCTTAAGAAATTTTTGAACCGGCCTTGAGATCGGCTCAATTTGATTAAGAAAATAAGTAAAACCAATTCAAACAACAATAATTTCACTTACTCTTCTTCTTATTCTTCTTTTTCTGTTTATATAGACATGTCTGTTTTTCAATGTGCCTCCAGTAAGTTGTTGTTCCATTGTTTTCGTGGTTTTCTTACTGATCGTCTTCCTATTGAAGAACTGTCTCTTGCCGTCGTTACTACCATATTTGTAGTAATTCGGCTTATATGATCATTCAATTCTACTCTTCTATTTCTTACCCAATTTTTGATGTTCTCCACCTTGCATCTACGTCATATATCTGTACTAGCTCTGTCCCATAGTGTCTTACCATCAATTTTTCTGAGTGTTTTCATCTGTGCTGTTTCTAACATCCTTTTTGTCCTCTCTGTGTCAGGTCTTGTTTCTGCTGCGTATGTTATTATTGGTCTGATGACTGTTTTGTAAATTCTGCCTTTCATTTTTTTTCAGATATTTTTATTTCTCCATATTGTTTCATTTAGACAGCTTGCGGCTCTGTTTGCTCTGTTTACTTGATTTTCCACTTCAGTCTCAAGCTTTTCATAGCTAGATAATGTGATGGCTAGATATTTAAACTCCATCGCTTGTTTTATTATCTGACCTTCGAGCTCCAATTTACATCTAAGTAAATTTGCTGTTGTAACCATGCATTTTGTCTTTTTTGGGGAAATTAACATGGTAAATTTTCTGGCAGTTATATTAAATTGGTGCAGCAAACGTTGTAAATCATCTTCACTTTAAGAGAGTGGTATTGCGTCGTCTGCGTAGCAGATTATTTTAAGTTGATTTTCCCCATTTGCTGTCCTTTTTTAGTTCTTACTTTTTTATTATTTCATCCATGATCAGGTTGAACAATAGAGGACTCAGGGAATCTCTCTGTCTTATCGCATTGCCAGCTAAAATGGGGTCGGTTAGTACTTCTTTTACTTTTAATTTTATTGTATTGTTTTGGTAGACATTTTTAATGGTTTCGATTATTCCTAGAAGTATCTCTCTTGCGTACAGTAAGTGGATACCGTCTTTTAATTTGATTCGGTCAAATGCCTTCATAAGGTCCACAAAACATAGATATACCGGTATGTTGTATTCTAATGATTTCTGTTACACTTGCCTCATTATAAATATAGCGTCAGTGCATGATCTTCCCTATCTAAAACCTTGTTGTTTTTTTGCTAGTGTTATAATTTCATTTAGTTTATTTGTTATCAATTTGGTTGTTAATTTTAGTGTAGTGTTTAATAAATTAATTTCTCTGTAATTTTTCGAGTCTGATTTGTCTCTATTTTTGAAGAGATGTATGAGGATGCTTGATCTCCATTCTTAAGAAATTCATATTTGTTCTATAATTTTTTGGATTAGTTATAATAATTGTTTAGTCGGAACTGGTCCTTCGTACTTTAGGAGTTCGTTCGGTATTCTGTTCTTACCTGTTAATATTCTATTTTTTAATTTACTTGACGCTTCCTTTACTTCTTCCTCCTCAATATTTATTTCTTCGTTTGTCGTCACCTTTGGTATTGGTGTTTCATTATCGTCACCTTTAGCAAATAAGGATCGAAAGTAGTCTAACCATATTTCCTTCTAATGTGTTTCGTTTTTATTAGTTTGTTCATCTCTTTTCTTTGTCCTCTGATCATTCTCCATATTTCTTTTTGTGTTCTGTAGAAGTCGTGTTCCAAAGGCACACATACGTGCCTTTGGCTACCAATAACATAGGTACTACTCTCTTGATTATTTGTTGTATATACTGATTATAAGTAGGTACGTCTCGAGTCTAATACTACTAAAGTATACTTTCCTTCACTCACCAGATTCAGATTTGTTTCATTTAGGCTTCAGGAACCAAATCTCTCTAAATTTTACCTTCTAATAAATTCCGCGATTTTGAAATTCGAAAGCTTATATTAAGCCCCAAGTTTAAAGTCAAAACAGTCAGAACATGCTACATATTATATCGATGGTAATATTAAATTTGCTGGAGTCTGTAGTAAACAAATCATCCCTATACGCTAGGATATCACATCTCTTATTGCTTGCTGGACTATCAAGTCCAGCTATCAACCGCTCTATGACCAGAATTAACAAGAGAAAGGATTAGAGTCCAACCTGCGTACACCCTTTGGATACCTGAGCTGATACTGTAGAAATCGAAACGTTGGTAATATCTATAAAAATTAGTCAATAGGTAAATAAAATGAAATACATCAATTCAACTAAACAAACAATAAACTACAGACTGAATGTTGGAAGAAATATACCACACATGATTTATCCCTGGAATAAAACAAAAGGGGGCCCGCGTAGCGCAAGCGGTAGTGTGCTTGCCTCGCATGCCGGTGGTCGTGAGTTCGAATCCTACCGCCGGCAAGAACAACTAGACATTTTTAAAATGTCTATAGGCACCAGGTCGACTCAGCCTGAATAAAATGAGTACCTTGGGTAAAACCAGGGGTAATAATAGGCGGTTGAAGCGTAGCACTGGCCATGTTACCTTCCTTGTATACCGTAGGCCCTAGATATAGCAGACTACCCTGCTATACTCCCAAAGCCGCGTGCGGTATAAAACGGGAGACTATTATTATTATTATAAAACAAAAGGGGTTACATATTTAAAATATTAGTTAATAAGTATAAAATGTGTGTTTAGGATTAAACTTGAGAGGTCGCTGGTTAAATTATATCAGATAAATAATTATAACGAAAAATGCAATATTTGTTTGGTACATAAAATTGGTGAAAATAGCAACTATAAATTATGAATAAGTTATGAAATCAACTGGTTTACTCATTGTCAATGTTTTGTACAAAGAACAGACTTACCCTTTGGTTCTACTGATGAGTTCGTAACAAGCTGAAGAGTTGGTCGGTGGTACCGACGCTAGCGTCGCCGTCGACCAAGTTAGCACGAGAACCGTCCGAAACTAGATGCGTAAAAGTGCCTTTTTAGATCGTTTCTAGGGTACAAACCAGCCTCTAACTCTGGGGTGGTCAACAGCTCGTAGGCCGGGCATGCCATAAATCAACCATTTGTTTCAATCTTTCTGACATAGAATACAAAGAAAAAAGCCCAATTCTGCGTACTTTAACATGATAATTGAGAGCCAGTTTAAGTTTTACGAACTCACAGGAAATAATATATTTTAAAAAGATCTTTGAAATACAGCACCCAAATTAGGTCATATTACAGTACCGTAACAGAAAAAATATTAACTGTAAAAATATGAAATGAATTCGCACATACTTTCCCAAACAATGTGTATGCAATAAGAAGTATGCATGGAAACTAATTTAATCAAATCTCGTTTCATATCGATATTTTCAATTATAAATCATATTTATTAAAATTTTAATTAAACATTAATTAATATCCAAAATTTTAACTAATAAACAAATATGTTTTTAGAAATTTTGTGTGCGTACCTGTCCTTACTCCGTCCTTACATAGGTTGACTATAGTGCAATATAAAGATTTCGAAAATGGAGATGTAAAGAAAATGTCAGCTCATGGCTTAAAAAATCTTTACGAGATACGAATTCATGAAGACCTGTCAATGGGTGAAATATATCTTGTCGATTGTACACATGTTAAATTCAGTGTGGTAGCTAAAATAACTCCTCTGTTCTTAAAGCAAGTAGCTTTTGTTTTAGAGGTAAGTTTCTATTCGAGTAAGTAATTATATTTGATCTAATTTTTAGATTTACTTGCGTAATATAATAATAAAATCTCAAGTTATCTTTCTATTGCGCCTTATATGGTATATTTTAAAACTTAATTTTGTTCATGCCTAGAAATCGTAGCACTTATATTCCGATAGATCTATTATTATTATCATTATTAATAAATAAGGTAACAAAATCCTAATTGTTGTGTATATATATATATATATATATATATATATATATATATATATATATATATATATATATATATATATTATAAAGACTACGACCGTCAACTAATATAAATAAATTATTCAACTAGTGAATTCAGAGGTTAATCGGTCATTAAGGTTGGCAAATAAAAAACAGAAGTCAACTACTTCATAAGTTTATAGAAGACGTTTCGCTTTATACTTCTAAAGCTTCATCAGTTCTCTAAAATACAAAGATGACACAGAGTTTATAAGAAATACAGATATAATAATTTATTACTTACAACTCAATATGTAGTATTAAAGATGTTAATAAATAAGTTTACTCATTAATATAGAACTAACTTAAAAAAAAAACAGAAACAAAGAACACAAAAACTTTGCAAAAAATAATCTCATTCGCAGAAACGAAGATTTAACAAAATTTTAAAACGTACATTTGGCTTCATTTAGAGATCGTTCTCCAATGAAGACAAACAAACACTGATTTATTGCAATCTCTGCAAACGACGTGACGCGGTACCGAAAATGTTTAAGGGCCATATGTGCAACTAATTCCAAGGTTTAAGACAATTATGAACTTCTACGGGGATCATTGAAGGATTACTTGGACGGGTGGATTTGTATGACGGAAAAATTTGATATGATTTTTTTTTTGGTAATTTATGTTTTAATGAAACTTGGAGATATGGGACGATTGTGTACATTTTGAACGGAAAATAAGGCTATTTTTAATGATGAATAATGGTATTATTTATTTCGTAAGATGAGAGAGTGGTAAACCTGGCTCAAAGTGTCGATGTCGGTTCTTTTGTTTATTGCAGAAGGGTTTTTTAAGATCTCACACATTTCAATAAAGGAGCGTGGAAAGTCTAATGTCGCTTTTATGTGAAGTTATACGCCCTAGAAGTGACCGACTGGTCTGGCCAATGTAGCAGGAATTGCATTCAGAACAGGGAATCTGATAGACAACATTAGTGTGCTCTAAAGAGCTTAGCGGAGTTTTGGACTTAGAGAATAACTTTCCAATGGTTTTAGTGTTTTTTAAGGATATTTTGACGGGTATGTTTTTGAATAGTTTAGTAAGCTTGTTCGTAATTTGTGGGAAATAGGGAAGAGAAGCATATTTTGTGACTGGTTTTGGTGTTAACAGGGAATTGTCCGTCTGTATGTTGTTGGATATGGAGGCTAATATTGCACCGTTGGTTGCTTCAGAAATAGAATGACCATAGCTTTTAGAGAAAAGATATCTGTTGATGATGGATATGGGGTAAGAGTTATCAATGAGAATGGATTTGAGTAAATCCAAAGATTCCCTCTTGTACCGCGTATGGGTCAACGTGTGTACTCTAAAGCTAAGAGCTTGTACAAAATTATGTTTGTATCTCATTGGGTGTGTAGAGTGGTAATTTAGGAACCGGTTACTAGCCATTTCTTTCCTGTACCATGTAGTGCCCAATGTGTTACTATGCGTGCGTATGATTCGCATGTCCAAAAACGGTATGCTGTTATCAACCTCCAATTCACATGTAAATTGAAGGTGAGGATCAACGCTATTGAAGACTGATAAGGTGCTTAAAATCTTATCAGGTGGTGTTGCTAGGATCAAGTCGTCGACATAACGCTTTACAAAGGGAACCTGGAAATCTAACTTACTGATACTCTCATTGATAAGGTCGTCGAGTACGAAATTAACTAGAATGGGGGAGATGGACGATCCCATGGGAGTTCCAAAAATTTGACGATAGTATTTGTCATTAAATATTAGAAAATTGGTCTCAAACGTCAGTTTTAATAATTCCTAGAATGTTTCTCACGATACTGGACTGTGTGGTTGGATTTCATTTCAATGGTTCCGGAGTGACGTGAGAACGCTAGAGAGTGGGAGATTAGAAAACAGGGATACTACGTCGAAGCTTACTAAGACATATTCTCTTGGTAACTGATAATTGTTGATAAATTCACTGAACTGGAAAGAGTCTACTATGTTGAAATCGTTCTTGTATGCTTGTGAGAGAATGTCCGTTAAGAATTGGGCTAAATTAGTGTTAGGAGCGTTTATTGACGATAATATAGGCCGCATACTCAGTTGGGGCTTATGGATTTTGGGAAGACAATAGAACCTGGGGGCATTGCCATTATAGTTATGGAGGGACTTGGCTGTTTTATCATCGATGATTTTTTTGTTTTTTAGTTCAGTGATGAATTTATTTATTTTATTTGTGTAAGTTGATGTGGGATTTCGGGGAAGTGGCTGATAATATTTATTATCATCTAGAAGTTGTTGGCTTAGGTTTAAGTACTGCTCTCTCATCATAAGTACTGTTGCATTGCCTTTGTCACTGGTTAATACCATCAGGTCAGGGTGTTCTTTAAGGAATGTGGACGTTTGCTTATAGACATCATCTATATCTAATCTGGCACAGGGAGGTTTATGTGCAAAGTTGGTGAGAATATTATTAGCAGATGATCTTAATTGGAGGAGTTCATTGGCTTCCGAATGTGAAAGTATGTTTTCTATGTCAGCTACGAAATTGCATACGGAATAATCGTTAAGCGAGGGTTGTAATCCGAACTTAGGTCCGAGAGATAGAAGTTTTGAGACATTTCTTGGGATTTGGATGTTTGTGAGATTTTTAATCCATTTATCATGAAATGGTAGGCGACTGAAAGGAGTGGACCCTAGATTATTTAATTTTGTTTGGAGATGAGATAAAGAATTGTCTCTCGTTGTTTTCCTGTCCCTAGTTTCCTTCGTTTCCAATCTCGGATGTCGGCTTCATTTAGCTGTCTTCCTTCCATGGCTTCATTCACGTCATCTCGCCAGCTTCTTTTTGGACGCCCTCTTTTTCCTCTTTCGGTTGGGATCCATTTTAATATTTTCTTTGGCCACCTCTCGTCTGCCATTCTGTTTACATGACCGAACCAAGTTAGTTGTTTTTTCTGGACTTCATCTATAATGTCTTTTTCTTGCTCCATTCTAAGTTTTATTTCTTCATTGCAGATTCTGTCCATCCTTGTCAATCTACAGCTTCTTCTCATAAAATCCATCTCGGTAGCTTGTAATTTTTGCCTGTTTCTTTTACTAGTGTCCCATATCTCTGCTACGTATGTTACCACCGGCTCAACCATGGTCTTATATATTCGTTTTTTCGTCGTTCTTGTGATTTTTTTTATCCCAGAGAATGGAGTTTAGGCATTTGGTAATGTTTCTGCCTTTGTTTATTCTTGTATTTATTTCTTCATGGCTATTTCCGTCTTTTGTAAACACTAGGTATTTACTCTATTTGTTCCTTTGATTTTGTCACTCTCCAATGTCAGGTCTTCGACTGTATTTTCCCTACTGAGAGATATTCGCATTTTTGTAAGTTCATTGTCAGTCCACATTCTTCGTACGCTGTTTGTAGTTTCCTAACCATATAGCTGAGATCGTCTATATCTTCTGCTACCACCAGTTGGTCATCAGTGAAGAATAGTGTATAGAGAATATCCTTATCTATTTGTATTCCCATATTTCTGCATTGTCTTTGCTACTTTTGTAGAGATCGATTCAGATATATTTTAAATAGCGTAGGTGATAAACAACATCCCTGTCGTAGCACTTTCGTAGTGTTGAATTTCTCATTAAGTTTTCCACCTATTTTAATTGATGCGGTGTTGTTTACATACCACTTTTGAGTTGCTATTATTAACGAAGGTTTTATTTCCATGTTTTGCATTTCACTCCATAAATTATTTATCGGCACGTTATCATATGCCTTTTCAAGATCTATCAGGGCTATATGTGTTTCTTTGTTTCTTTGTTGTCGCTTTTCGATTAATATTTTAAGTGTAAATAGAATATCTATAGTCGATCTTCCAGCTCTGAATCCGCATTGTTCTTCTGGTTGTTTCATACGAATGTCTTCTTCTATGAGGTTTCTAAGTATTCGGGAGTACAGTCGTCCTATAGTGGGGATGACAGCAATTCCTCTATAGTTTCTGACATTGTTTCGTGCTCCTTTCTTGTATATTGAGGTTATATAGGCCTCACGCCATTCTAACGGGGTCTCTTCTCCATTCAGGCATCGTTGGAACAGATCTTTGAGCATTTCCCACAGTTTAGCTGAGCCGTATTTAATAAATTCTGGTGAGATGTTTCCTGAGCCTGGCGCTTTTTTAAGTTTAAAAGATCTTATCGCGTCTACGATATTTGTCATGTTCAATGCAATGAATTCTGATCGTATGTCTCTGTTTGCATTTTCGTATTGAAAATTTTGTCTTCCTTCTTGTAGTAACTGTTTAAAGTAGTCTACCCAGTCTTTTTCTGTTATGTTACTTAAATCTAATTTATTGTTGGTTGACGTTTTCATAGATTTTAGCGTTCTCCAGGCTTCTGAACTTTTCGATCCTCCCATCATTTGTTTTATGTATTCGCATTTATTTTCCTAATTATTACTATTTATTATATATTACTATTATAATAAATAGTAATAATTACTATTATTATATTACTATTTATTATTTAGTTATTAATTTAGAATAGTCAAAGAGGAAAATGTAATACTTGGGTCACGTGTTGAGAGGCGAAAGACATGAATTACTCCAAATAATATTGGAAGGTAAACTGCAGAGCAAAAGATCAGTTGAAACACGCCAGAACTCGTGGCTGAAAGACCTATCGCAAAATATCGCATATATTAGTCTCCAAGAGGGTTGGTACTTCGTTGTCGCCCTCCACCATGAACATATAAGACTACATCATTTTTGACATAGGAATTCCAAGCTCTATTTACAACACTTTTTTTTTATTTTACAAAACTCCAAACGTTGAGCCAATTTACGTTGCGTTATTCCTTCGTTGATCCGCCTCATAATCTTTTAGAATGATGGTGGCAATTTATTTATCGGTGGGAAAAATGGCTACATTTGGATTTGATAAATTGTTCTTTCAGGGCTTTTTTCTCGGATAGTCTAATGTTTGGAGTAGGAGTCTTTGAGTTTCTAAGAACTCTAGCAATGTCTTGTCTAGTTATTTAAACATATTCGGAAGGTAAACTAGAGATGTTTTTTTCATTTAAACAGATGATTGTCTTAAGTGGAATGTGACTTGGGGTAACGGAGTAATTAAAACCTCTCACTAAAGGTCCAGAATCCAAGAGTCCAGAGAGCCAATGGTCGAAATAGGGAAATTAGGAAAGTTGTAAACCACTGTAGTGGATTTCAAAGTTGTAGGTTTTAGAATGTCTGTGTAATGATACGGTCGAAACTGTCCCATAATATAGGATGTACATTGAAAGAATAAAAAGATGACCAGATATTAAAAATATTGATATTTGTGACATCTAGATTTCATTTAGTGGAATAAACAGCATTATGGAGAAGCCCAAAAATTGGCCTGTTTCAGAATTTGGTAGATCGAAAAAAAAAAAGAAGTAAGGTGTCTTATTCAGGGCTTTTTAGTCTGTTTTCTGAGCCCCTAGCCTCCCGAGTTCCCAGACACTACTACACCACTATCACTAATCAAAGCACTATTGTTATTGGGAACAGCTGACTTATACCGTCGATCGTGATATGGTTTTGATGTAGGTAGTCGTGGGAGTTAGCGCGGGGGTTACATTCGTAATTTAGCTCCATGTCAGCAATTATTTAGTGTCCAAAGATGATACATCCTATTATCCAGCTCACGATGAAGGTATAAACTGATTCATTCTTACCGTTTCTTGAAGTTATCGTACAGAAAAACCAATCTCAAGGTTTTCATCACTATTTTTACCAACAACCCATCCATAATAATCGTTACTTGCATCTTCTTCTTATGGTGCCGTGTCCTTTCGAAGATTGGCGATTGAAATGGCAATTGTGGTTTTGGAAACTGCTGCGCGAAAGATTTCTGCGGATGAGCGGTAAAACCATCTCCTCGAGTCTTTTTAGCTATGAGTTCTGGCGTCTTTCTACTCAGCTTTTGCCTTGTACTTTTCCTTCCAGTATAATTTAAAGTAATTCATATTTTTCGCCTCTCAACACATGAGCCAAGTATTGCATTTTCCTCTTTTTGTTTATTCTTAGTAATTCTTTTTGTTTATACATTCGACGAAGTACCTCAACATTAGTAACTCTCTGTACCCATGGAATTCTCAACATTCGTCTGTTTAAGATAAATCTTAAAAGTATCTATTCTTTTTTCTACTTCAGAGTCCATTATCCAACTTTCACAGCCATGAAGTAAGACAGAAAAAACGTAATATTATCATTCGGATTCTAAGCTGCAGACTAAGGTCTAATCTTGTAAAAAATGTTTTCATGCTCATGAATGTTTTCCTTGGTTGTTCAGTTCTTGATAATATTTCTTTTTTTTTGGATTACACTGACTACTGATATTTGCTCCCAAATATTTTATGGAATTTATCTGTTCTATCATTTGACCCTTGGCATACACATGTTTGTTTATTGGTGTATTTGAAAAAACTAAAGTTTTAGTTTTAAAAACGTTTAGATGTTAACCGAAAAATCACATTAATAGTAGCATCCACAGGCATCAATCTCCCACTCAATCTTAACCAAAGTTTCAGACCCTCATCATATGAAAGCTTTTCTTCCTTACATCAAAGGTTTTACTGAGAAAATCGACAAAATTCTTAAATTAATAAAAATAAAGATAAAATTTATCCCTTAACAAAAACTTTCACCTTCTGTCCGATTAACCAAAGACAACATTTTAAATGAAAAACACGGAATTTATGAAATTTTTCAAGCGGAATGCCTCCGATATCATATAGGCCAAACAAATCGTAGAATCCAAAATAGGATCTATTACAATTTATTCCTTATATAAACAAAGAATTATTCGAAAAGCCATAGAAATTCAAAAAAAAAAGAAACCTGTCTTAAAAAAAGAGACCTCTACGCCATCCTATATCTAAACCACGTAGAGATCGATATTACAAATAAACCGTTCGCTATTCCCAGTACCGGTAGTGCATCGATTAGTGACTAGTGTAGAAGTATGTGGGGTCTTGAGAGACTGAGACCACGAAAGCACGAAAGCGCAGTGATAGTCTGCGCACATAGATTGGAACGCATTATCAACGTGATAACCAGCCTTAAAACATGTGATGCTTAAAAGCAGATATTGTATACAACATTTATAAGAATGTGCTTAAACCAAAAATATTGTATGCATTAGTTATATGGTGACCATTGTTGTAGCAAAAATAAGTTACATTTAAAAAAAACTTGCTTGCCTTAGAAAAAGGGGGTCTCTGAATAACACACCGACAGCAGCTATGGACACCCTAGTGGATCTCCCTCTTAATAGGATACACACTACGAGAATATATAAGCAACGTAGTCGTTGCAAAATGACATCGTAATATCATAAATAAAATTAAAGATACCACCTGTATAAGCACTTCTAACAATCATCATTATAGCCATTAACATATTGGCAGATATCGCTGTCCCGGTGGAACATTGACGTAACTGCAAATTTATCGAAAATTAGTTTATGTCGTCCTTGTGTTCAAACTTGGTGACTCCATTCGTCAGATCACTGTCAGATGGGTCGTTCAGCTTTTCGCCACCAGGGAGCAGATGCGTCATATTTGAAAAATCAGCCGATCTCGGAGAAACAATGACAGAATGTATAGTTGTGCTTCGATAGGTCGCGTGTGTGCTTGTACCTACGGTGCTACATTGACGCAATTGTATTTTATGTTATTGTTGCACTAAAGTTTTTTTCACAAATATGCGAAAACATTGTCGTAACTGTATTCTGTGCCTTTTTATCTGGATTTCTGCTTATTGTGAGGCAACATTGACATAGTGCACTTTATGTAAGTAAAATACACACCAAGATCCCCAAACACCAACACTTGGTAATGCTCTCTTAGTCAAGAAGGAAAAAAAAGACAAAGGAATGTGCATAATTGGTTGAAAAAAAAGAGGAAAAGACTAAAGAATTCTGGACAGGGGCATACTTGTAGAACAGGAAAACCTGTAGCTGCTAAAAAAATGAAACGTGTGTTTACCGACAATCGGCCGTCTGTCGTTTGAAATGTTAAAATGTCCAAATAGGGTGTCTGAAAAGCTAAGAGAGATACAGTTTAAAGAGTAATGGGCATTAGAGTCCTTGCAAAGCGAGATATTTTGGCTTCTTGTATTCAGCCACTTGAGTTGAACTACCGACGTATTTTTACATTAAAAACCACTTCCAGAAATACAAATTGTGCATTTTTCGTTACAGGCAAGAGAAAACAAAAACGGTTATGTAAAATGTTCCTCATTAATACTTTTGAAATAACTGAAACAACTATTCGCTCTAGAATTAAAGCAGTTTGAAGTGAAAAACTACTATTATACCAGAAGATAAACGTGAGAGGCATGAGAGTCAAAAAAATAGGTGACAAAATTTTGGATTTTGTTGGTGGTCACATAAATTAAATTCCACGAATTGAAAGTCATTATCTTCAAAGTGAAAGAAAGATCTTTGTAACCAATGCGAATCTTTTAAAAATGCTGGAGTAAAAAAAAAAGAAAATAAGAAAACAACAGAAAGTCACTTAGAGGAAAAATATCTAAGTCGTTAAAAAAAAACTAAAGATAAACTGAAAACAAAAAATTCTGATAACAATATATACACACACACACACACACACACACACACACACACACACACACACACACACACACACACACACACACACACACACACACACACACAATCACGCTAAGCGATCAACCCTACCCCTAGGAACATGTGTATACCAAACTAAGTATGGGATCCACATGTCCGAAGATCAAACCGGTCACACTTCACTAGTTAAAGTGGTACCTATCTGACCCCCAGGCTTTTCCACCACCCCTCCTCATCGTGTGACTTACGTGAGGAGGCTTATAAACTGAAAGTTACTTGAGGTGCCCTGGGTAATGAGACACCTCCTGTTTTTAATTACTGTGGTTATGCCACCTGACTGTAGGGGTAGCCACATTTAGGCTTTCCTCCCTATTTACTTTACTGATTCTATAGATTTTACTCTAACTTTACTTCGGGACTGGAGTCCCTAAAAAAAAGAAAAAAAACGTGTGTTCCGTCCATGAAGCCGACAGCCTGGGCTGTCGACTTCATGTCCGGAAAAAAGTGTGTGCTCGGTCACTCAGCCGCCGATTTGGCAAAAGTAAATTCTGTTCTCCTCGCCGGCTGGGCGCCCGAAGTGTGTCCGGCCACCAAGCCCATGCTTCCGCACATGACCTCAGTGCTCGGGTGTCGCGAAAAGGATCAGCATTCACTTGATCCGCCTTAAGGGCCTAATCCGCATCAGCGGTATATAGAAGGCCTGACGGGCCTTCATTGTTCCACCTGGACAGCGATGTGTTGTGGTTCCTGTGTGTCTCTGTCAGATTTGTCATCAAATATTATTAAAGCAACGGAAATATTAATCTGTTTTCCTGTAACTATCAGTTCTAAATATACAGATGGATATCTTGGGGTCATAGTTATCTATTTTGCTGTAAAACTCAAAGTTTTGCTGAGATTTCGAGTTTAATTTACAGGCTTATCCTTGTTAGGATGCTACTATGTTCATAATATGAATAATATTGATATAGATGAATATTTATTGGATAATTTTTTCCGTTTGTTAATTTTAATATTCCCATCTTCTTGGGATTTTAATGTAACCAAAAAGTAGGAATGTATCATTTTCTCGGAATAAATGTCCTTACTAAATAATAATATAAAATTTTAAATAAATAAATATATGTTTCTTTTTCAGAGGGTGCACAGTTTGAGGACACACTCAATACATTTTATTTATGCCCCGTCATATTATCATCACACCATAAATCTATTTAAATCGTTATTAAAGAAAAAGTTATCAGATAGGGTAAGTACATTTTATACTTAAATTATTGGAAATACAATTGATCTGCCCACATAGGGCAAATTGTAGTAGCATGTATTTTGTTAAATTTAATGACATGCAGAGAGTTATTCCACTGAGTATATCTCCTTAAAAATAATAATATGTTATATTATACCAATTCATTATATTACCATTGTCATCATTACCCAGCCCTTTGCGTCCACTGCTGGAAATAGGACTCTTTCATTTTGTCCATTGTGCTCTATCTTGAGCACTTTTCATCAAATCTCTTGACATTTTCTTGATGTCGTCAGTCTAACGAGTAGGGGGTCTTCCTCTACTTCTTTTGGCTAACCTAGGCCACCACTCATGTAATTTGTCCACCTTCCATCACTGATTTTTGCGGCGTGTCTGGCCCAGTTCCATTTCAATGTGGCAAGTCGGGAAATTACATCGGTAACTCCTGTTCTTCGTCTTAAGTTTTCATTTATAACTCGGTCACGAAGCGATATATTCAGTATTGATCTTTCGATTTTCCTCTGAGCTATTTGCAGCATTTTAGAACTTGTAGCTGTCAATGTCAAAGTTTCAGCACTATAGGTCATTACAGGCAACATGCATTGGTCAAATGTTTTACGTTTTAAATGCATTGGTATATCGTTTTTAAAGATGTCTTTGTGTTTTCCATAGGCTGCCCATGTTAGGTTTATTTTTCTTTGTAGTTCACATGTTTGGTTGTCCCTTGTGATCTTTATTTCGTGTCCAAGATATATGTATTTTTCCACCAGCTCTACTTGTCGTTTTCTTCAATATTAATATTTCCGCTAGGTACTAGCTTTGCCATGAATTTTGTTTTAAAAGTGTGTATTTTAAGATCCACACTGGCACACTTTCTCTTCTTCTTATGGTGCCTATCCATTACGGATGTTGGACACTAACATGGCCATTGTGACTTTGTTGACTGCTGCCCTGAAAAGTCCGATAGTGGTTAAATTAAACCACTTTCGCAGGTTATGCTGCCAGGATATTCTTCTCCGTCCTGGACCTCTTTTCCCATGCACTTTACCTCGACGTATCTACCGAAGTATGAAGTATGGCACACACTAACTGAAAATCATGTAGCATTGTACATATCTTCTTTAGGTTGTGCGAGAACAAAACTAGGTCGTCTGCGAATTTCAAATTTAATAATCTTCTACTGTCAATGTTCAGCCTTTTTCTTACCAGTTAAGTTTTTTACAAGCATATTCTAGTACTGCGATAAACAGTTTAGACGATAAGGTATCGCCCTGTCGGACTCCTCTACCGATTGGGATATGATCCGTGCTTTCATGCAGTTTCACGATATAGTTGCGTTCTTGTATGTATTGTAAATTAAACTTGTATATTGGTAGTCAATGCGGCATGCCTGTAGTTCTTCCACGATTTTGTCAAATTATACCATGTCAAAGGCTTTATGGAAATCTACAAAATCCAGAACGAGTGGACGATTGTATTCGATAGTCTTTTTTATTACCGTTTTAATTCTCTGTAGGTTATCATTTGTTCCAAATCAGGTACGAAATCATATTTGCTCTATTGGCTGGTAGAAATCAAGTTGTTTCTTAAGACGATTTGTTACTATTCTTGTAAGGAGTTTGTATAGATGACTAAGAAGACTTATAGGTCTATAGTTTTCTAATTCACGGGGATTTCCATTTTTGTACAATAGAATTACCTCAGCATTGTGCCATTTGTCGGGTGTATTACTGTCCAAAACGCACATGTTAAGCAATTTTTTTATTTTCTTAAGTAGGCAAGTGCGATTTTGATTGCATCAGTAACTACACAATCTTCGAATGGAGATTTGTTATTCTTAGGGGAGGGCGCGTACCGATATGCGAGCCAAACGGTATATGTACCGTACGCGTACAGATCCTTGAAAATATATCTACATCGTACTGATCGCAGACTTATCTCGATCCATGGAAAGCGATAAAACCAACAATGAACACACATGTGCGAATTGATTCATTTTATTTATAATTTGGTTACTGATTTATTGTGTTTCTGTTTCTTATCTATAATAAAAATATATACAATCAGTTTACTGTTTTCTCATATCTCTCTAGGAAGGAATACATCATTCACACAATGTCGATTTGATGAGACAATAAAAATGTTCGCTGCGTCTAGTAGCGCCGTCCAAACTAAAAGATGAGCTTCTTTTGACGTTGTGGAGTAAACCGCAACAATTTGGTTCGCGACGGGTCACGATGAAACAGTATTCATACAGTAAGCAAGCAGTTTTTTCTGCCGGACACATTAACGAATATAGCGTTCGCATACCGTATGGCTCGTATGTGTGTACCGAGCTTTAGCTTTTCTTAGGGCTAGTTTTATTTCGTCCATTACGATTTCCGGTAGCAGTTCTGATCCTTGGTCGACAGTGCCCTTTTTCCGTGTTAATATTTCTGGTACTTGACCTTCTCTGCTATTTGCTTTGTGTTGGCACCTGTACAGCAATTTGTAGAAATCTTCAATTATTTGGTCGTTTCAAGACTTTTTGGCCACTCTGTATATAAATATCATATATATATATATATATATATATATATATATATATATATATATATATATATATATATATATATATCTATATATATATATATATATATATATATATATATATATATATATATATATGTATATATATTATAGTATTATATATAATACTATATTACGTACAAAACCCTTTAAATTTTTAACAGAACTAAATCCTAAATAGTATCTATGATATATATTTTTGCATGTTTTTTTCACGGGATATCTAATTTTAGGTATACAGTCACAAATCACTTGATGAATTGATCGAACATCTTCCATTGGACGTATTACCGAGTGACTTCGGAGGCAAGCAAAAATCCTGCGATGAACTGGCAGGTAATAAAAAAATATTTAAGTAGTTAAAAAATATTTTTTATTGTTTTTATTCGTAAATCTTAATTTAAAATATAAGAAAAGTAGCATGAAGTTTTTAAACATATGTCTGTTTTTTTGTCCTTAATATATACCTATACTAATCAAGATATTCTAGTAGCTGTTAAAGTATTTGCCGCCCATTGATTCTTACAATATTTGTATAAAACAAATTGTGTTGATTGACTTGAATGCGCATGGCTATGTACTTTGATCATCTGGGCAGTTTGTGCATATATAAACTTAATTAACGTTAAATATAACACTAGTTATATTAAAATCGTTTTAATGTAACTAATACATTAAGAATCAAAATAAAAATGTATTCTATTAATTTATCTGATGATTTTAGGTCCTGCTCTTTCTGGCCTGATATGGTCTCCTCCTGTGAGAGAATCACGTGCCTATGTTACTGGTCTGTTGCCCATTGTCGCTTTAATATTATACAGACCTATATTCATTGAAAAAATACAATGTTAATTTTTATGAACATTAGTTAAAACCAGAATTATTACAAATATTTAAGATAAATGGTTGCCACCGTATCACACAGATTTTTATGCATTTAAATTAGTATTACTGATAAAATAAAAAGTCATCAAGAAATAATATTGTTAGGAGACCTAAATGCCAGATTAGGTTCTCAAATAGACGATGACGTGGTGGGACGGCACGTAAAAATTAAGCTTAATTGAGTTATGTCAACTTTTTTGGTTTAAAAATATTGAATACCCAAATAAATACATTTGGGAACGAATTCACTCTAACAGAAGTCGATCATAGAATATATAATAATGAGACAGAAATCAAAATTTAAGTGCCAAGACCGCAGAGTAAAAAGAGAATTTAACTGTGGGACAGATCACTACTTTCTTTTAGCTAATCTTTTGTGCGCCTTTAAATAATACTACACACAGAACACCGAAACTGAGAGAAACAATACTACACAGTACAAAACGGAAAGATATAAATTGCACCTTTTATTTCAACCCAGTATTAAACATCCTTTTCAATCTAGATTAGAAAAGAAACTAACTGAGATGGAAAGAAATATGGATGTAGAACAAGAACACAATAACCTCAAAACAATAATAAAAAAAATTGCTTATGGAGTATTAGGAACAGAGAACAACGACAAAAAATACCAAAAACCATCATAAATGACAGAAAACGTAAAAGAAATGATGGAAGAAAATAACAAAATATATATAAGAAATGGGTAACAAATATAACATCTAATATATATTAAAGAAAAAACGGAGAAGTACACAATCAAATAAAAATAGCAAAAATCAATTTCTGGAAACAAAAATTACGTTTATTTATTCATTACCACGTTGAAAATTTAATTGGTGGTTCTCAGACTACGGAAGCATAGAGAACTATCACTAATCTAAATAAAAACACCCATGACTCCCTAAGCAACTTAATTCCTATAGAAAAGTGAAAAAATCACTATAAAAATTTACTCCTAGAGTCAAGAGTATATTGTACCACCGCTAATAACCTTCTATGGTTAATGCGGGTTATTCAAATTAAAAAAAAATACCTACATTACCGCAAACAAATTTTTTCTTTCAATGATCAGAAATTATCGTTTCATTTAAATTCTTGCGGAAAGTGTGTTGTTTTCTTTCCCATATGCCTATTTTATAGATATAAGTTAGAAGTGTTTAGTAAGAACACTCCATTAAATAAGCTACATTCTCAAAGCTCTAAAGGCGCGTACAGACTAGAACACGCATTCGGTGAGAAGCCACGCATATGCGTGCGTACTCAAAACATTCGCTCTCAGAGCATTTGCTGAAATTATAAATCACCGCATATGTATGCGTGCTAAAGGCGCTCCATTCATCCGTGAAAAAATGTCTGAGCTGCTTATGGTTAGTGCCGCATTTGTGGTTATTAGTTCATTAAAAAAAAACAACAAAGAAAAAATAGGCGATGGTGGAAGACGCATTTATTTAAAAGAAAAACCCTACAAATGACGTCTGATTTACTAGTAAATTTGGCATTAGAACCTAATACTGGACAATTTCAAAATTTTACACGTATGTCAGTAGAAGACTTTGAACGACTTTTAAATGATATAGGCCACGTAATATAGAAAAACGACACAGTCTTAAGAAAAGCCATACCGGTTAAGGAACTGATAACTTTAAAAGTTCTGGCCACAGAGGATTCTTACACAAGTCTCCAGTATCTTTTCAATTTTTATTTTCAACCGGCATCTCAAAAACCTTGGTAGCGCATTTTTGTTTGCAGCATTAAAAATTTGACGAAAAAGTAGCACAGGTTCGTTAAAACCGCATGGCTTTATCTTCCATATTAACCGAAATAACCTATAAAAGTGTCCAAATTGGGACACCCTGTACTTATTGTAAAAACACAATACATTTTCTTGTACCCACGGAGTTTTTGCATTTGCTCCTTTGAGCCTTAAAAGACTTAAGTAAGCTGCTCATTTTCTTCTTCACAACTGCTGAATCTATATCAAGATTTCTTGAAATCGACTCCCATGCATCTTCTTTTTTTGTTTTTGAATAATAAAACTTATTTTTGGATTTCATAATATAGGGTTTTCTTCATACAAATCTATTATTGCAAACATTGTTCATTTGACCACTCGATTTTACACATAAATCAATAAAATGAATAAAACTCAATAAATCAGAACTTGTCTTGCAAATGCAACAAATCCCCACGCTATCCGTCTAAACTGAGCGCGAACGCACACGTATGTATCTTTGATGTGTGCGAAAAAACCGACACCACTCTGGCTCGTAGCATGTGTGCTCAAGTCATTCGTGAGAAGCAACGCATGCGGCGAGAGGTTACGAAAGCGCCGTCCACATTTGCACACGTATTCGTGGCTGCTCACCGCATGTGTTTGTAGGTCTGTACGCGCCTTAAGAGTAATGTTGAGTGGCATTCTTGTTTGTCTTTGGCATGGAATATCTTCTAAGTTTCTTGAAACAACTTATTTTAAAGTGATTGTGGTGTAAAAGTTAGACAAAAAAAAAACTACTACCCGGTTTCTCTTACAGTAATACTATATTTACATACAATCTCTATATCAGCTAGTTATTTATTCCCTTAGTTGAATATGACGTTGGTCTGTTATCTAATACGAGAGACCATATTATATATTATATTTGGTATTTAGTATAATGCTTTAATATTTCTTTTTTAGAATTATGGAAAAATAAAATGTTTGAGTATAAAGACCGATTTGACAAATTGGAGACAATGCAAGTAAATGAAGCACTTCGTCCTGAAAAACTACAAAATGATGAACTTCTAGGCTATTATGGTAATTTTAAGAAAATAGACACGGATTAAATCGTTCATGAACAATTTGTAGCGGTGAACGCAAATAATTTTAAGATTTGTTACCTATATTAAAATATTAAAAAAGTTTAGAACATACGTTTTACTATTTTGTAACCCTAATGCAGCGTTTCTCAAGATTTTACCATTTGCGACCCAATTTTCCATAATTATTTTCACCGCGCCCCCTCTCGTACAATAACAATATATCGTCGGTGACCTGGCAATATTTCCTATGTGACTTCACCTAAACTTTTCAGGAGAGACAAAAACTTTATAATTATACAATTTTAACATATTTCAATTGTTTGTTTGTGTTTTATGATCTGTGTGAAAGCAACATTTTTACTTCTAATAAAAAAAGTTAATATTTAATTGAATTTAATTTTAAGCTAGATAGGGGGTATTGCTTTAAGTAATGTTACTCATAGGAGATACTGATTTTTATTTAACGTTAACTTAGGAGTTGTTGTTTATTAAAATTAAGCATAAATGCCCTTTTATCCAAATAAAATTAAATATTTTTTTGAAATTAAACATTTAATAAATTAAACAGTTTTATTCATGGTAATATAAATCACACAATATTAAAACTTCGAAAAACAACGAACAAAAATTATTTCATAAGTAGGTATGTCAAAACGAACAATACAAAAAGATCTATTCGTGTAAAAGGCCTTCTCCCTTTCTCTTTATATGAGCTCTATATTCTTCTTTAGTCGTATTGTTATATTTAAATGCAAAAAAAATATTGCATTGGTATTTTTTCGGTGAATATAAAGCGAAATTATTCTCCTTAAATCGTTTGAGAATACGTTGCGACCTATAGGAGTTGCGATCTAAAGGTTATTATTTTCTTGACAAAAACTGTTTACATAAACACCATACAAATCTGACATACTGTTTGGGTAAATTCTCAAAAAATTGTTAAAAGTATTTATGACTTTTTGTATACCTAGTCTTTACCATTTTCTTCTTAGAAACACGTAATGCTTCGTCAGTCATACCGCAATAACTATTATCCGCCCAATAGTAAATGATTTTATAACCTATATCTAATGTATTTGTGAACATGCTATGACATACTTGTAAGTTCTCATTCCCTTCATGTAAGTAGTAAATGTACGTACATTGTTTTCTTGAATTTTCCTTCTTTAATTTAAATGTTGGAGTTTTAAATACATAAGATGCTACAAAGACCTAACATTAATCCCAAGGCATACCCCAAGGGTTCTTAAATATATGACTTCTGCACTGTTCTGTAAATTCCTGGTACACACACACACACAATCACGGTAAGCGATCAACCCTACCCCTAGGAACATGTGTATACCAATATACGAATGGGATCCACATGTCCGAAGATCAAACCGGTCACACTTCACTAGTTGAAGTGGTACCTATCTGACCCCCAGGCTTTTCCTCCACCCCTCCTCATCGTACGACTGACGTGAGGAGGCTATGATCTGAAAGTTACTTGAGATGCCCTGGGTAATGAGACATCTCCTGTTTTTAATGACTGTGGTTATGCCACCTAACTGTAGGGGTAGCCACATCTAGGCTTTTCTCCCTAATTACTTTACTGACTCTATTGATTTTACTCGGACTGCACTTCGGGACTGAAGTCCCTAACATAAAAATAATAAAAAATAGCGTGTGTGTTCCGCACATGAAGTCGACAGCCTGGGCTGTCGACTTCATGCCCGGAAAGATATGTGTGTGCTCGGTCACTCAGCCGCCGATTTGGCAAAATAAATTTTGTTCTCCTCGCCGGCTGGGCACCCGAGAGGGTCCGGCCACCAAGCTCATGTTTGCCGCACATGGTCTCAGTGCTCGGGAGTCGCGAAAGGATCAGTATTCATTAGATCCGCCTTAAGGGCCAATTCCGCATCAGCGGTATATAGAAGGCCTGACGGGTCTTCTATATAGAAAATTGGTATGAGTTACTTTACGTTTAGTTATTTGAATTTAATTTGAAATGAATCTACTTAATTTAAGAGAAAAACAACCATTTTTTTTTTTTTTTTTTTTGTGGGGTTTTGGGGGGTCTTCCTTGGCGATGGAACAATAAAATGCCTGCACAATTCTTACCCTTTTACTCTTACATGCTAAATATGTGTGCGGTGTGGTGGGGTGTGCATTGCAGGGTGTATATGGCCTCCACACACCCCGGTGTATATTGTTCTTATCTAAGTGCCTTGGCACCTGTACCCTCTCGCCAGAGTCCTAAAAATAAGATTTTTTTTGGGGGTTGTTTTTCTGATGACTGCATTTTTTTTTATTCGACGTTTTTGCGACCATCTCATTCTTCATTTATTAGTTTGGGACCCTATATCCGGCTATTTGCTGTTTAGGTCTTCTGTGTAGTGTCCTGGTGTTTGCATTGTAATTAGTCAGCTCTCTTAGCATGCTACTTGGGTGGTTATTTAATCCGTTAAAAAGTTCATATGCCTTTTTATCCATTGTATGTAGGATCCTTGTTTGTCCTGAGTCTCTGTATAAATTTCTCAGAGGTACATATCTCGGTAGATTTAGAGCATCTCTTATCAATTGATTTTGAGCTGTCTGTATCTTTTTCCTGTTTGTTTTACAGGTGTGTCCCCATGCTGCGGAGGCATATGATAGGACTGGCAGGATAATACTATTAGCTATTCTGATTTTAGTTTTAAATCTTAGCTTGCTTCTTCTGCCGATAAGCGTTGAGAGCTGACTTTTCAGCGCTTTGGCTCTGTACGTTTGTTGGTTGATGTGCTGCGTAAAGGTGAGTTTTTTGTCTAGTAACACCCCTAGGTATTTGGCCTCATTTGTCCACTCTACTGGGGTGTTTCCGATCATTAATTCGCGGTTAGGTACACTTCTTCTGTGACTAAACATTACAGCCTGTGTTTTGTCCGGGTTTAAGGCGATTTTCCATTTGATGCACCATCTTTCGAATCTACTTAGTGCTCTCTGCAGATGATTAGCTGCATGATCTGGATTCCTCCAGCTAACAGCTATTGCTGTGTCGTCAGCGTAAAGACTCAACAGGGATCCTGGTTCTTTTGGCGTGTCGGCCGTATAGATGGTATACAGGTAAGGCGACAGCACAGCTCCCTGAGGCACACCTGCTTCCAGGATTCCGACTTCGGACAGGGTTGCCCCTGTTCGAACCCTGAACCTTCTGTTGGCTAGGTATGATCCAAGGAGGCATGTCATAGCCTCGCTGTACCCCATGGTGTTCATTTTGTATATAAGTCCTTCATGCCAGACCCTGTCAAATGCTTTACTGACGTCCAGAAATGCTGTTGCCGTGTACATTTTTTCATTAAAACCTTTCGTTGCAAATTCCGTGAACCGTAGAACTTGTAGTTCACACGAATGTTCGCTTCTGAATCCGAATTGCGCTTCTGGTATGGTGCCTAATGCTTCCGATTCATCGTTGAGTCTTTTTAGTATGACTCTTTCTGCTATCTTGCTTATTGATGATAATAAGCTGATAGGTCTATAATTTTGTGGAAAAGCGCCGTCTTTCCCTGGTTTCTTTATCATGATTATATGTGCCTCTTTCCATCTATCTGGAAAATATCGTAGTTTAAGCATGTTGTTAACGATGTTTGTTATGTAGACAATAGCTTTGTTGGGTAGATTTTTCAGTGCCCTGTTTGTGATATTATCAGGACCTGGGGCTTTTTTGGCGTTAGTTAGCTTTATAAGCTCTTTTATTTCTTCGGGGGAGGTATGTGTAATTCCTACTCTGCCCTTTCTTCTCTTTATTCTTCTGGCTGTTCTTTCTACCTCTTCTTCGAAATCTATGTCTTCGTTGGGGTTTTCATTATTTCTGCATGATCTTTCTAGTTCGTCCTTTAGGACTTCAGCTTTATCTATTTTCGTGTGGACAATCCCGTTTACTCCGTGTAGTGGAGGTATGGGTTTCTTGTCCTGTCGGAGGATTTTTGATAACTTCCAGAAGGCAGATTTGTTAGGGTCTAGATCTTGGATATAGTTGTCCCAGCTTTCATTTCTATGATTACGTAGTTGTCTTTTAACTTCCCGGTCTAGCTCATTTGCAATCCTTTTGTCTTCTACTGTTCTAGTACGGTAAGCTCTTCTTCTTTTTCTGTTCTTTTCTTGGATTAATTCTTGTAGTTCGTGACTTATGTCTCCGAATCTTCCTTTTTGTCTTGCTACTGTTTCCGTTTTGGAGCTGGCATCGATAGCGTTTGTTATCGTGTTTTCTAGTTTTGTTACAGTGTCTTCTAGTTCTGTGATGTTATTTATTGTTGGAATGTTACCGATGTTTTCGCTCACAATTCTTCTGTAGTTTGACCAATTTGTTATTTTTCTTTTGTGGGGTTGCAAATAGTTTAATTCTATTGCTCCCAGGGTCAGGACGATTACATTGTGCGTTGAATCGCCTTCATTTAGAGAGTGTATCTCATATTAGTAGAAAGGTGGTCGCTTCACTCCACTTTGACCTTTGACCCCTGACGTCACAAACCCAGTCCGCGCTCCGGTCACGCCCCGCGATGACGTAACCGACAAGTCCTAACTTGTTTTTCACGCTAACCGTCACCGCCAGTAATTAGTTATTTTTAATATGAATTAATTAAATATTAATTTTGTATTTCAACTATTATCTACTATCTATAAACACATTCAACTATTATCTACTATCTATAACACAATTTTAATCCAAATTATTAAATTATTAATTATTATTAAATAAAAAATTCTTCCTTGTGTAGGACTCGAACTCGGGACCAGCAGCACCGAAGCTAAGTATGCATATCGCTGACCCACGGAGGATATTAGTATCAAGTGCCGATAAATTGGTATAAAAAAATATAGTAAATGTATGTACATGAGGTGTGAAGAATTGCACAGAGTGGTTTGAACCGTACACGTACCCCATTTAGGGTAGTTAGTTTGATATTAGGAATGTTATTATATCACACGATTTAGAAACATTTAGCATGGGTTATAATATAAAAAAGTATCGGTGTAAAGCCGTTTAACAATGTGTTGTTATAAAAGGTTTAAATTATAGGATAAAACAGGAT